TCATACTCATAGTCATAGTCATAGACATAGACATAGACATAGTCATACTCATAGACATAGGCATAGGCATAGACATAGATATAGACATAATCATACTCATACTCAGTCATAGACATAGGCATAGACATAGACATAGACATAGACATAGACATAGGCAGATAGGTGGTACAATGCAATAGAATGCCAGACCTAGAGTCAGGAGGACCTGAGTTCAAATCTGGCCTCAGACATTTACAAGTTTGTGACCCTGGGCAAGTCACTTGACCCTGTTTACCTCAGTTCCTCATCTGTGAAATGAGCTGGAGAAGGAAATGGCAAACCATTCCAGGATCCTTGCCAAGAAAACCCCAAATGGGATCGCAAAGAAAAGGACATGACTGAAAAATGACTGAACTGAATAAAATGTAAGAAGACTAAAAAGGTAGGAAGGGACTAGGTTATGAAGGGCTTTAAAAGATTTGCAGTTTCATGTGCAATCATCTTTTTTTTTATATTATGTTATGAAAATGCTTTATTCCATAAATTAAAAATAAAATAAACATTAAAATATATAAATAAAAAAGCCAAGGAGATGGTTTTATATTTGATCCTGGAGGTAATAGGGAGCCACTGGAATTGATTGATTTGAGAGAAGGGGGTGACAGTTTGTTGTTACAAAGTATTTGTTTTTTTAATATTTTATCTCATTTTAGATGTAGCTAGGCCAGGTATTATTATCCCCATTTTTCAGATGGGTAAATTGAAGCCTCAGAGGCAGCTAGGTAGTGCAATGAATAAAGCACTGGCCCTGGAATCAAGAGGACCTGAGTTCAAATCTGGCCTCAGACACTTGACACTTACTAGCTGTGTGACCCTGGGCAAGTCACTTAACCCCATTGTCTAGCCAAAACAAAACAAAAAAAGTTGAAGCTGAGGGACTTGTCCCATGGACATACGACTATTAAGTGTTAGGTGGCTGGTTTGAACCTTTATCCCGAGGCTCTAAGCCAGATGCCCTTTCGCCTATCCCACGCCGCACTCTGGAGAAAGGACACACAGTTTGGAATGATCACGAGGGATGACATGGACTGAACAGGAAAGTAGAATCCAAGCTGACGCTGAGTTGACAATCTAGGTAGCAGCCTAGGGTATAAGTCACAGCAGGGCATCAAGAGAGAAACCTCTTCATATTTCTTTGAGAAGCATTGAACATTGTATGAGAATCTAATTTATCTACCTAACAGAGTCACCCACCGCAAGCTGGACTCTGCACCCTCCATCTGGCTGGCTTGCTGCCAGAGCTCTCCTCCAGAGCCGGGTGACCCAAGAAGCCACAGCAATCACACGCAGCCCTATGCTCAGTCCTAAGGCTCCTATAGCCACTGCTTCTTCTCAGAATGTCTCTGCCAGATGCATTTGTGCAATCACCTTGAATAAAGCTGTTCTCCTGGAATGCAAGGGTTCTGAGGATTAACAAGTACCTTAGAGAAGACTTAAATCAGTCATAGGCCTTTGTTTGTCACATTTTCACTCACACAGGAGGAGGCTATGTGGCTTAACTTGGGAGACATAGGGGTGGGAGAATGGAGAGGGAGTGGGAACAACAAGGGAAGGATGTTTAAGGCAGCACTTCTTCCCCACCCCAACCCCTAACTGGGACATTGGCTGACATCTTGGAAGTAGGACAGGGCCAACTGGGAATGTCTCCAGTGCACGATGCTCTTCAGGCTCTTGACAGCAGAAGGGGTCCATAATGGTCCTATAAGATGCTGCTCCCTGGGCTTGGTGCATTCCTACACAGAGCTTCATTGCTCTTTCTGGTTGGATGACTGGCCCTACTGGATTGGGCATTGGTCTTCACTTCTAAGAGCAGCTTGGACATGTGGAAAGCTTGGGGGACAATTATTTAGATCTGACTTTGTCTGTATAAAAAGTGTTTTATGTTTGTGTCTGCTCCTGTGTCTGTTTTGGCAGGTATGAGACAGCTTGTCTTGAGAAAGGTTAAACTCAGAAAATTAGAAGAGTTATCTAAACCAGTGCTGTCAAACTCCCATATGAATGAGGGCCACTAAATCATCTGTCAGGTTCCCTGAGGAACGTTAGTGACTTAGAGAACCACACATGTTTGTATCTTTCTTTTTTATTAACACATTGACTCATTAAAATCAGCTAGAAATTACATTTCATCTGGTTCTGGCTGCACTCTGGAGCTTTGAGGGCTGCATGTGGCCCCCTGGCCATATCTGACATTTCTGGTCTAGGAAACCATAAAGCGTAAAGCAAATGGGAAATAAACACAAAAATTAGAGTAGAATTCAATAAGTCCAGAGGTCGCTATAGAGAAACAACAACTTCCATGTCTATTGTTGGCCTGGGAAGGAGGAGGAACAAACTTAGAAGGAATAAAAGGCGATGATGAGGGAGAGTTAATGCACAGACCCCCTCCCGCCCCCTAGGGAGAAGCCTACAAGAAGGGTGGTATCAAAAATAGGCCTTCAGCATGATGCCCCAGTGACCACCCTTTCTCCTATAAGGAGAGAGAGAGAGACAGAGACAGAGAGAGACAGAGACAGAGAGAGAGGAGGAGGAGGAGGAGGAAGAGAAGAAGAAGAAGAAGAAGAAGAAGGGAGAGAAGGTAGGGGAGAGAAAGACAAAAAGGGAGACAGAGAAAAGAGGAGGAGAGGGGGGAGGGGAGAAAGAAAAGACGGGAAGGGAGGGGGAAGGGAAAAAAGGGGCGGACAAAGAGGAGACAGACAGAAAGGAAAAATGGGAAATGAAAAGGATAAAAATCCTTGACTCAAGAAAAATAAAACATAAAACTTATCTGACAGGAGAAACTCACAGAAAAAATCACAATGACATAAAATATTCTGTAACACAAAAGATTCTAGGGATACAATTTCTGCAGCAGTGTATTCTAAAGAATACTAGAAGAAACACAAAGGAGAAAATAAATCAGCTAATGAATACATTAAAGAAAGACTCTAATGGTAAAAAGGGGGCTACATGGAAAGAGATAAAAGGACAATTTTGTTTAAAAATGTGAAGAAATAGAATTACTAAAACATCAATGGAAGCAGCAAATAGAATAAATTTAGCCAAACAAAGCTTAATGGATGATAAAATCAACGAAAGAACAAGCCTAGAATATAAAAGAAATTAAAAAGCAACTAATGAATACACAGGGCAAAATAAAGTACTTGGAAGATAGAGTGAGATGTTTGAACTATAGAGTCATTGAGCTCGCAGGGAGGTATGAAGAGAGGAAAAAAAAGAAAAAGCCAGACACTATATTTGAGGAACTAATTAGAGAAAACTTCCCAGAATGGACAAGAATAGGCACCACTTTGCAGGTTCAAAGAATTCATTGGCCTTCAGCATAGAGAAGTCTTCAATGCAAGTCTTCAAGGCAAATATTATTAAATTTCAAAATTATAAAGGCAAGAAAGACTTCTTTAAGTGTGAAGAAAGAAAAGAGAAATTGCCCATAAAGAGAATTGGAATATCATCAGACATCTCAATTACAACATGAGAAAGATGAAAAGTAGACAAAAATATACTCAACTCCTAAAGGCATAGGATTGGAACCCAAAATTATATATACTGAAAGCGTTAGCATATCATTTGAAGGCAGAAGAGGATCTTTCAAAATTCAACAAAACCTCAAAGAATTTATGAACAAAACCCCACAATTAAAAAGATCCCTGCAAGCAGCTGGGGAAGAGTTCCAGATAGGCTGAACAATCAGAACTTAACAAAATAATAATATACTTTAAACCTCTTACTGCTGATCATGGAGATCACAAAAAAAAGGCAAGATAAGCTTTTTGAAGGAGAAGGAAAAAGATCAATTCAGAGTTCAAGATTTTTTTAAAAAAACATATTATAATTGAATTAAAATTATCCTTTTTTTTTTTTACAAATAAAAAGATGTTTAAAATTGACAAGAAATAATAGACTCCAAAAGGAAAGAAGCTGATGAACTGGTGAATCTGAGAATTGATAACAGAATATTTAAAATATGACAACACAAATATAAGATTTTAAAATATGTGAGCTGTATTCAAAGATATCAGATAGGGAGATTTATGGCATTGAGTCCCTACATTAATGAGAGAAAGGGGAAGCATAAACACATTGTCTTCAGCTAAAGCAAGGGTTTTTAACTTTTTTTTGTTTCTG